TCGCGGGGACGGGGACAGGTATCATAAAACCCGTACCCGCCCCGCCCCGTTGCCATCCCTAGGTTGGGGTATTGAAAAGTGCAATCCAACCCTACTAATTGCATTTTACTTTCCTATAATTCAACTTACACAACTCATAAATTCATCGAGTTAATTGTTGAATTAAACTGGTTCATTTGATCAACTCATTTTTTTATGACTTTTATCCATCGTCATTGACTTATATATAATATTTTATTTTTATTTGTGACTCATTTATTTATTGAGACTTATTTATATTGTATAATTATTTTATTATTATTGATAAAATATATTGTAGACTTATTTTAATATTGTTAATAAACTTATTTTATTATTTTTAACAACTCGTACGTTATCATTTAATTTATTACTAGATTTTTAATGAACTAATTAAAGTTAGTTCACAAAACTTTCACAAATTGTTATTTCTTTTGGAATGATTTCAACCTACCATAATTTAATTTTACTGATCTAATTACATAAATTATGAAAGATCAAAGGCCTAATTATATATGTATTATGGAATATTAATTTTTCTTTTTACAAAATTTAGTAATCTACTTATATATTAAACTTTTTTATTACAAAATGCAAAATTGTGAATTTTTATCAAATGAAAAATGACTTATTTTTTTTTTATCTCTATCTATTTATTTATATATATTAAAAAAATATAATTGATGAGGAAGGGCCCCTGTCCCCGCTGTAGGTGTCAACAATTTAAACAATAACCACTAGTCAATTGACAAGATAAATCCTTAAGCAATGTGATACTTCCTGCTTTCATACACGGAACTTGGTCATCTAAAAATAAATAAATAAAACAATTAAAATCGAAATTAATGTAAACCTTTTTTTTTTTTTCTTCTTATGTTCACTTGATCCGACCTGCAATGAACCCAAATTAGTGCATCCGTCTTTCGCTAGATTAATTAATTAATCAATCCTTCTCTTTTAATGAGTATTAATTTATCTTTATCTATAAATTTAAAACTTAAATGTATATTTTTCAACATAAATTTTAATTTTAATCCTTATAAATAGGATGAAGTTTACAGAACCGGATAATCTTAAAATATTATTATAGGTTTAATTCAATATCACAAAATTGACTTATAAAGTGATAATTATTTTTTTATCATATACACTATTTTGGTTATATCACATGAAATCTTTGATACACACTCCTCAAACCGAGGACTAAATATCTTGAATGTGATGTTTGAGAAACTAGACTTTTGTATAATGATGGATCTAAAACTTCGAGTGAGTGACGAAAATCTATTTTTAATAAATAAATAATAATAATCATATACATAGATATAGAGGAAGATTATAATAATACCGGTATAATTTTTATTAAGTATTACAGCGCTCAATAACTTTATATTAAATGTGAATTTTGTAAATCAAACTATTATATCGAAAGTTCTTTATTCTAAGATCATATATACAAAAATTTATATTAATCTAAGATGATTTAATACTTCATTTTTATAAAACAAAATTGACGTAATATATTCATTTCAAAATATACTAAAATATAAACACTTTGAATACCTTCAATTTGTTGTTCAATTTTGACAAAATTTGATATAAACATATAAAGTGATATGAATTATCAATCTAATGATTAAATTTTTAAAATTTACATTTAATATAAAGCTATTGAGTAGTATAATACTTAGTAAAAGTTACACCAGTATTATTATAACCCTACTCATATATATATATATATATATATATATATATTCACAATTGAATGTTAACTTCTAAATAAACACCCAATAATTTATAGGAAAATTAAAATAAAAAGTTTGTTTTGGAAATAGAGAGAAAAAGAAAAAGCGTGTAAAGAAATAAATTTGAGAATAAAGAGATGAAATTAGAGTGTGGTAAAGATGATGATTACAGATTAGCAGTGGAAGAAGAGTTGAGTGAGGTGTTGAGTGTTGAGAGAGAGAGAAACGCATCATTTTGATATAGTTTTTGAAAAAGGGCTTTCCCCCGCGAGCAAACCCTAGCAGAGGAAAAATGCCGAGGGAAATCATCACTCTTCAGGTTGGCCAATGTGGGAATCAGATCGGCATGGAGTTCTGGAAGCAGCTCTGCCTCGAACACGGCATCAGCAAAGAAGGCATCCTCGAAGACTTCGCCACTCAGGTCCATTCTCTTTTACCCTTTCATTCTTACACCAATGCTTTCTCTCCTAGTTATCCCTCGATGTTAGATACTTATTCAATTTCCCATCTTTGCATTTATCTCACTTCTCCTGGGTTCACTTTCGACTCTGTTCAAGATTTTGTTAATTCTGGTCTCTCGTTACCGAGATAGCATCTAACTGTCTTTTTCCATCTTACGGTATTTTAAGAATGGGAAACTTGGAATTTTCACCCTTGCATTCTTTTAGTCCCCATTGAGCATTGTCTTACTGTAGCTGGCTTGCTAAGTTGCCAGTTTCCATAAGTCCAAAAAAGTGACTACCGAAATCATTTATCCAACAATGAATTTAATTCAACTAAGGCTTTGTTTGGATAAACTTCTCCGGAAGCACTTCTAGGGAGAAAAATATGAAGTAAAAATGAAATAAGCTTTTTCATAAGTTAAAATTAGTTTATGTATAAGTTAAGCTAATTTGTACAAGCTCTTTCCTATTAGCTTCTCCAAAATCTTATTTTTAACATATGCATAAGCTAGTTTTAACTTATGGAAAAATTTATTTTGATTTTTCTTACTATTTTTTTCTCCCAAAAATGTTTTTGCAAAAGTTCATCCAAACATGTCCTATGAATTTTGATGATGAATGAGTGACGAATGGTTAGAACTTAGAAGCTATAAGTATGCGTCATATACCCAACTTGTGAATGGTGATGATTGGTTCTTCTGCATTTTTTTATTTTGGTTAAAATGCTGCAGGGGGGTGATCGGAAAGATGTGTTCTTCTACCAAGCTGATGATCAGCATTAATGTGTGTGTATATATATATATATATTTATTTATTTATATACAATGAACAAAACATCAATGTTCAATATATAAAATCAAAGAGGACAAAATACAATATCTTTACACATATACTAATAATTTAAATAAAGTGAAGGATACATTTATCCACCTTCAATATAATGTGGATATGGTCTAATAATAGCCAAAAATGGATCCACCTTGATGACGAGGGGATGCCCATTAAGTTTTTTATGTTAATTTTTTTTACATACATATTATAATAAATATACCATTTACCATTAAAATCTAAGTGCCTTATTATTTTTTTGTGTTTTTATGTTGTAAAAAATGTCAAAATTAATATATTATTTTTTGAAGTATATATATATATATATAAGATATTTGAGTGTAATTTGCTAACTTACTTTTTCTTAAAAAAAAATAAATTTTCAACTTATTAAATGCTTGTGGGATTTACTAATATATACCCACTTCTTTTTAAACAAAGTATATTGATAAGTTATAACTATAATATTTTTTAAAAATATATAGTTTGTTAACTTACCCCTTTAAAAATAGTGAGTGTAAATGATTGCTTAATTATTTTATATAAAAAATAATTTAGAAAATGTTAAAAATGAAAAAATCATCCAATATTTTTAAATATAAAATCTAATATAGAACAATTATTATGTATATTTATTTTAATAAATATAAAATTATATATCTATTACTACAAATTTATATATTAACATTGTTTCACTAGTTAAAATTTATAAATCTGTCACCGAAAACAACCCAATAATAAAGGAACTAATAGACTCAACTAGAATCATTTATAGATAGATTCTAATATATTTTAAAAACTTGACTTTTCCGATAGACAGATTCATCGTGATGATGATCATCGACAACTCAAAACGGATTACTGAAATATCGCCGTGATATTTTTTAATCAAAACATTACTAGATTATTAGTTTATTACCCGAACAATATATAACACATTACTATTTTTTAATCACTACATGGATTTATCGGTATGATGTTTGCTTTTGTGTAATTATATATATAATTGCAGTATGTGATTCTCAGTAATAATTTTGTTTATTCTATAATAATGATACTGTCTCCCTTAGTAATTTTGTTTTCGAGTCTTAATATACCTGGTAAATATTTAGAACAAACATTTGAAAATATTATGTTTAACAAAAATAACTATTTATGATAATAAGTTGTTAACTTTTAATTATAATAAAAAAATAAAGAGTCATACATCAATGATAGTTTGTAATTAGTTTAGAACATTTTATTGACTATAATAATCTTATAATCGACTCTTAATATGTTGTATATCGTAAAAGAAACCCTAGTGAAACATAATTAGTTCTGTAGAAATACCAATGGTGTATATAAAAGAAGACATTATTATTATTATCATAGTTATTGGTTGAGGTGCATCTTACAAGTTCCAAGTAGAAGGAGGTTCACATGTAAAGAGGGTCCAGAAGGCATTGATGCATTAAAAAAATGAGACCCACATGGGGATGAGATGGAGCCTCCGTTCACATGGGCATGTTCCCTTTGCCTTTGTGGGGACATCTTGCTTCTCCTGCTACCGACACCTTACCCTGTCTTTGTCCTTAATTTATGCATCCAAACCAACTCATAAGTCATGTCATTCCCCATACCATACACATCTTCCTATAAAACATACCATTCCACACTTGCATCGCATCTCAAGTCTTATCATCATCCTCTCCACGGATACAAATACAATACCAACTACCAAGAGAAATAAGAATCAACTCTAGCTTAGAGATTAACCGAAGATGGAAACCAGTGTGACATATGAGAATGATCTCAACCTCAAGGCAACAGAACTTAGATTGGGTCTGCCAGGAACTGAGGAGGAAAAATCACTGCCTGCAGCTGTTAGAACCAACAAAAGGCCTTTGAATGAACCTTCTTCTGATCAAGACTGTGCTTCAAAGGGATCTGATGCAGCCCCTCCTCCCAAGTGAGTTTAATTAATTATTAACATGTTATTATTATGATCATGTTGCTGATGCTATGAAAGTTCTGATTTTGATTGAGTTGAATGTGTTGAGTGCAGGGCAAAGATAGTGGGGTGGCCACCAATAAGATCTTACAGGAAAAACAGCCTTCAGGAGAATGAAGGTGCAGGTATTTATGTGAAAGTGAGCATGGATGGAGCACCTTACCTCAGAAAAATTGACTTGAGGGTTTATGGAGCCTACACACAACTCCTCAAAGCTCTAGAAAACATGTTCAAGTTGACCATAGGTGAGACTGATCGAGAGGAGTTTTACTTTTTATTCAAGCTCTATTTATTTATTTTATATTCTGAAAATGACCATGCCATGGCTTTTCAGGTGAATACTCTGAAAAAGAAGGTTACAAGGGATCTGAGTATGCACCTACATATGAAGACAAAGACGGTGACTGGATGTTAGTTGGAGATGTTCCATGGGAGTAAGTGTTACTGCTACATCTGCATGCTTTTCTTTTCTTTCTCTCTGTTCTTATCAATCTGACACAACCGTACTTTTTTTGCAGCATGTTTGTCACTTCTTGCAAAAGGCTAAGAATCATGAAAGGGTCTGAGGCAAGGGGTTTGGCTTCTGGTGTATGAAAAACCACTCAAATTAACAAGTGTTTTGGGGTGAAGTGAAGGGAAAACATGCTTTCAGCTTGTGTTCTCGGATCTAAAGGCTTTTGACTTTTCAATCACTGTAGTGTATGCTAGCTGTGTTGGCATACCTTTATACTCTCGAGTGAGAGATGGAAGATATGGTGGACTTTCTTCCTCAAGTTTGGCAACATTTCTGGTTGGTTATTTTGGCATCTGTGGTGAGATGCTATGCTATGGTAGCTGTTGTTTCCACTGATCCTTTTTTAAGTTTCACATGAGAAATCTCAGAGATTTCAAATGAAACTTTTGTGTAAAAGAGAGATAGAAAGAAGTGATATGTAATATTGTTTCATCTAAGTTTTTTTGGTTTCTTGTTGATACAAGAATACAGTGTAATATACCAAGTGTTCCTATGTGCCTGTGTTATTGAATGAAATGAACCCAAAATTAAGTATTATGTGTCCTCCTGGTTATTTTCCTCTTTTTAACTTCGATTGTATCATTCATAAATCTTAATTTGAAACTGAAAACTCAGATCAAAGTTTTGGAATCATATCTACACACCATCAGGTGATTAATTAATATACGATGTCTTCGGTCATTTTTCATCTTTCACATTCGACATCAAATGGTTAGCGGTTTATTGATGCCACCACATTCTTTATTCTTTTATGAGTTTATCCAAATTAAAATGAAATTTGTTATATTATTCATATACTATATATATATATATATATATTTTATTTATCATTCTTTACGTTTCTTTCTTTTCTTTATGTGGTCCTGTTTTACAAAATGTTGTATAAAGTTATCGTACAACTATCGTTTCTCAAATGGAACGAATAACCACTGCTTTACCCAAGGCTTTGCGGTTGGAAAATAAAACTGAAGGTACATCTTAAATATGAAATAAATGGGTGGAAGGTAAAATGAGAACGAGAAAATTAAGGAAAGAGAAAAACTAATAGAAGTGAAAGACGAAGAGAGGGAAAAAAAAAAGAGATAAAAGTGGGATGGAAAAAAAATTAGTAAATGAATATAATAATCCTTTGTGGACGCTGCATTATTGGAAATTTGGAATCGGGTAACTGAGGAAGTAGCCTTCTCCTATATTTTTCATTATGAAAAAATAACACCAAAATAAGTTTAGGTAAATAATAATGAAAAAAGGAACGGGATATAATAAAGTGAAATAAAATTATCATTCTATTATTTAAATATTTTTATAATGAAATGTAAAATCAGTAGTTTCATCCAATACTCTTAAAATGAAAGAAAAATAGAAGAGCTAGATGAAATGAAATAGAATGCATTTCATTACATATTCAATTAAACAATTGAAAAAAAAAACCCTAATATTATCCTATTCTATTACATCTTTTTCTATATCTAATATACAAGTAGATTAAATATGCGAAACAAGTCAAATCACAAGGTTACGACCAATATGCATGGTCTAACTCAGTTAACTAAACAAAATGTGGAAGTGTTATAAACTATTTAATACAAAGTTTAATTCTGATAAATAAATAAATAAATCATAAGCTGAGATACCATTCTACCGAATTAGCGCGCTTACATAAAGAATATGAAGATAAAACCTTATAAATGTTACCATTAACCAAATTCAAAAAGAGAAGTTTTCCATTGAGTAACAACTCAACTGAGTAAGGCTCTCGATTTTAAACTTGTTACTACTAAACATAGTTTTCACAACTACCCACGATCTCGAACTTCATCATCTTTCCGCCTATCATTGTTTTAATATTTACTCGCCTCTTTCTCATTTTGTTTCACACAAATTAAGGTTTCGATACATAAATTAGAAAATATAATTAATATTTAAATTTTATTAAAAGTAGTTTATACTTTTTAATATACTTCTTATTTTAATATATTACACAACTTTTCTCTCTTTTTTTCACACCCTATAAATAATGATTAAAGGTATAATGGAAAAGAAATACTTAATGCTTGACTAATATGATAAAATGATAATCAAAATGAAAAATAAAACATCAAATAAAAATGGAGCATAAGAAATAATAAATAGAATATAAGTGTGGTATATTTTATTATTGGCTATCATCATTCTACTTACGCGGCATTCAAAATTTTCGGTGTTTGACCGAATATTTTGATAACATAATTAGGAAACTGTATGATTTAAACCTTGACATTACAGGAAGTTGTGATTTTCAATTAAATGGCAAAACAAGAAATTAAAGGTGACCTTTGATAAATTAATTAATGTCCTTTATTTTATTTTTGGTACAAATGGGTCCTCTCTTCAATTCCAACTGCAGACAATCCTGGCAATTGATTTCTCACCCAAAATTGTTGTGTCTAAGGAATCTCGTTACCCTACAAATTAAAGATATTTAGATAAGAAAAAGATGTATATGGGTGTGGTTGTTTATAACGATCTTCGAAGAATTAATCTGATCAATAAAATAAAAAGTCAAGGACAAATTATTAAGTAGACAGTATCAGTCTTCAAATTTACATGTCAAGACTTAATGCAGATGTTGTTAGAAATAGAGTGACAAATTAAAGTTTAACAAATTATGTTTGTCTATGATAATACATGATGATGTCGGTTTAGGAAAAATAGTTCCAAGTAATGAGAAATTATATTTATGCTCTTAAAAAAGAATATTTTATATTTTTCCCTGCATGGAATCTTTGTAGGGCTGATCTAAAAGTTCACTATGTAAAACGATGTGGAAAAAAAATTAAACCATAAACAAGCATGGCGAATATTAATTGCAGGAGACAGGCTTACTACAAATCATATCTGTGTTGAAATATGAAAAAGTTCAAGCAACTAAGTTATTCGCATTTTACATAAAGTTCATAGATCTAAAACAAAACTGCTGAACTTTGTTGTTGGTTTCAGAAATAAATGTCTAAAATTTTATTTCATATTAATTATGAATGAATAATGGATTGAAAGCTGTCTTGATTAGAATTTGAAACCGTGTCTGCTTGCAACAATCGATTATACATGCTGGCAGCAGTTTTATAATTGGAAGCTGTTTAAAGGAAAGTCGTAGATAGGTTCATGCATAGCAGTAATCTTAATTAAAATATGAGTTTTTGTATTTTTTCCGTATAATTATTTTTTTTATTCTCTTATGCTTACAAAAACTATTGAATAAAAAGTAAATTTATTCAACATTTTGAGAACATAAATAATATTTAGTTAAGAAGATTCAGAATTAATTTTATTTAAATTATTATCTGAAGACGTGGAGTTATTCTTAAAATATACATAGCAGAAGAATTAAGTTGTTTTTAATAATATAATATGGTATTTTGTTTACTTTATATTTGGCATTGGTCTTTTTTGAAATTAAATTCTCTTTTATTTCTTATTCATCCAATTAAAAAAATAACAAAGAAATGTAATTTGACTCTATAGGAAAGACCCTTATAACCCTATCATGGTTTTTTTGGTTTTCAACGAAGTAATATAATTTAGTTTCCAATTTATTAAATTAATGCAATTAAATTTTTTTTTTATCAATTTAAAGTAAGTCGTATTTCTAATATAAATGAAGTTGTACATAAAATGTATGAGTTCTAGGTTCTTTTCCTCTAGTATAAATAAAAAATGTACGTGTAAATTAAAGGATGAGATGCATGTGGGATGCTGGCTATCTGAAAGGAAAATTGGAAAATTCGTTGTGCGTATATTGTGGTGTGACTGTGGTCTACTTTTGATTAGTCGTGTCTGGGCTTGGTCTTGATATACACTTAGAAGCAAATGGTAGACTTAAGTTTTTTACTCTCTAATGTGTTTGAGACGAGACAATTGCGACTTTGACTAAAGTGCATTTCATGTAGATTGTGGTTCAAGAGCTCTCAAATTAATAACGTTATATAATAATGTTTACACATTAGTTGTATTTTCTTATTTTGCTATAGTGACAAATATATCTTTACTATGAATCGAATAGTTAACCCTTAAGAATCCTACACATAAGTAGTGTTGACGTAATTAGTTAACCCTTTATAACTTGAATTTATCCATCGTTCATGAGATGGTCCACCATACAATTGGGTCTAAAATACTTTCACATTATTCTACTTCCTAGGCTTATACTTTGGGTGCCTTTGAGAATATGATTGCACTTTACCTAAATATTAACATTCATACGAATAAATATTTATTTTCTAATTAGAAAATCTTATCGATTAATGAGAAAATCTGTTAAACTTGGCAAACAATGTTAATTAATATTCAATGTTATTATTCCAATAAGAACCCTAGGCATGACAAGAAGATGCATCACTTTTCAATTACTTTTATAACTTCATAAGATGCACATAAAGTTATCTATACTGTATAGGTGTCAGCATATTGCTTCTTTTTAGAAAAAAAAAATTGGCTATTTAATTTGATTATGCAAAAGGTTTGTTAAAAGTATTCACCAGACATAACTTCAGTTTTATGGCAAGTTCATAGTATGTTTTCTGCTTAGCCACTTGTTATGCAAAGAAACAAACATTGTTTATTATCCAAGTCTACCCTATAGTAGCCAAATAAACTACACAGGCAACCTAAGTCTGTCTCGCAATATCAAATTATACTATGAATGTGGCTAAGAGGTATAGATCCCTCTTCCCGGCAAAGTTTAAGGAAAGATACTCTAAAGAAAGATAATGAAAATGCATGCACAATATTTTATTAATAGAGCAGAAACTGTCCTTACTGTTGCACTCTGTAGCAGGGAACAATGAGATTTTAGGCCAGTAAATGGGCACAAGTACAGAAAAATAATCCTTGCAGACTTTAAACAGTGATGTTCAAATTGTTGTTGACAAAAGACCATATGCAGTTTTACCAGTGAAAAAATAAATTGCTTCCATGTGCTGCAAAATAACCAGATGACACTTCACAATGAGGGCCTACGTACCAATGTCTGAAGAAAAGACTAATTCGAGCAAAATGCATGAAAAATATTTTGAACCATTGGAAAAAAAGAAAAAAAAGGAAGAGCCAATTAATGCATGAAATTGTTAGACTATCTGTGAATTTTTTTTTGTATAAATTTATATTTAATAGCAAAAATTGCACATTTAATATGGAATTAAGGGTCTTTTTCCCCATCCCCTTGTCATATAATGGGCTGGAATTTTACCCTTTTCATCTATTCAATCAAAGAAATGATCACTTCGCTTTGACGTAAAGACAGCATCATGGTGTGTCACATAATATTTCGGGGAATTCTAAGTTGCCAATAGGTCTACTCTTACCTCAAGTACTTTGATTATTAAATAAACACTATTAAGATTTAATTAGAACCACTTTATAATAATTATTTTAAAAATAATACTTGAGATGATTTTTCTTTAGTTAACAGTATAAAGGTGTTTATAGTAACAATGGGTAAAATTATTAACATGAAATTTAATTTTTAACAAGGGAACTAGGGTAGAGTAGGGTGACCC